CGCACAGTTCTGCTTGGTGTTGGCCAGGTTGAGGCGCAGGCTGTCCAGGTGCTCCAGGATCTGCTCCAGGGTGAGCTGGGCCAGTTTGCTGCTGGAGCTGCGCAGGCTGGGGGCAGAGCGCGAGCGCCCGTTGGTCCTGCGGGGTCGGCAGCCATGGACCCCTCCTCCTCCTGCCCACCCCCACCCCCACCCCCACCCCCCATCCACCCCCCCTCCATCCCACACCGCTCCTCAGGGATGCACTGCTATGGGGATTATGTGGCCATGGGGACACAGAACCCGAGGACACACGGCCATGGGGACACGTGGCTATGGGGATAGCCCTGGGGACATGCAGCCATGGGGATATGAAGGCATGGGGACAGCCCTGGAGACATGTGGCCATAGGGACATACAGCTATGGGGACACAGAACCCAAGGACACATGGCCATGGGGACACAGGGGCCATAAGGATGCACAGCTATGGGGATACGAGGCCATAGGGACAGCCCTGGGAACACACAGCCATGGGGACACACAGCTCTGGGGACATATGGCAATAGGGACACACAGCCATGGGGACACATGGCCATAGGGACACAGAAGCCCAAGGACACGTGGCCATAGGGAGAGTCCTGGAGACATATGGCCATGGGGACAGCCTTAGGGACACGTGGCCATGGGGACAGTGCTGGGGACACATTGCCATAAAGGCACACAGCCATAGGGAGTACTGCCACGGTGACACAGGCCATAAGGACAGTTGTGGGGACATATGGCCATGGGGGGGGACACAGCCATAGGGACACACAGTCATGGAGACACATGGCCGTAAGGACACACTGCCACAGGGACAGACCTGGGGACATCTGGTCACGGGGACACACGGCCATAGGGACAGTCCTGAGGACATATAGGGACACGTGGCCACGGGGACGGCCATAGGGACATACGGCCGTAGGGACACACAGCCACGGGGACAGCCCTAAGGACACCCAGCCATAGGGACCCCCCCCCCCCCCCCCCCCCCCCCCCCCCCCCCCCCCCCCCCCCCCCCCCCCCCCCCCCC